GAAAAAATTTGTTGTGCTATGCATAATGACAATAAAGATTCTTGACTCTTGACTAATAAAAACACTTCCTGTGGTGAAAAATATGCAAATAAACAAAAAATATGCATTTAACACAAAACACAAAAACATGCGGGCGAGGGACACACCCTGAGGAGGCACGACGTTTCTTGCTTATTCTGTTTCTGAATGACTCTTTTCTCTTTCTTTCTCTGAGTGAACGGACAAGCTAACTGAAAAAACTGAATGCCTCTATGACAAATGAACAGTAGTAACTCACATAGCCATGTGCCAGCCAGGGCAGAGACTTTGTCTGATTGGCTCAAGAGTCCGCAGCCCAGCCTTCTCTGCTGCTGATCGAAACCCGGTTACTATCATCATTCTACACTTACTTGTTATCGTATGGACTTTTTACTCACTACACTGTAAATAAATTTAGCACTGCTTGCACCGAAGTCAGCTACCTGGGTCCGCCTCTCTTTACTCACTCTCCTCCATGTCCGAGCGGACATAACAGAATGTGGATCATTCTCTGGGAAGAAAGGAACTGTTGACTTTGTAACTTTAAGAATAATAGACAAAAGCAATCAGTTATCAGCACACAATCATTACAATAAAGAAATCAAAAGAACACAATGACTTATGCAAATGTTTGAGCAGTACTGGGAGTCAGGATGTCAGGATTAGCAAAGTCTCTGGTGACAGTTGATTTGTCAAGCATCTGAAATAATAAGCATGTACTGGTTTTCATGGAACACTCATGTATCACTGTTTATATGTTTTGGTTCACATTAATGTGACTTCAGGTTTGGAATCATTTCTACTGTTAAAAGAACTTTAAGGAAGAAATCTGCAGTGGCTAGTTATGTATGTCCATCATCAGACTCAAACATTTCCAACCTTCTTATCAATATTTCACACAACTCTTTAAACAAAGTTTCACATTTCCAACTCTAAAGGCATTTCTTTATACAAAAGAGAGTGTGCACTAAGTCAGTTTATAGCACTTTCCACATTCTCATGTGGAGATAAGGGAGGTTCCCTTTGCGTTCCTGTGTTTCGTTACTCTGGAAACTGATCAGATAAGAGGGAACCAAATGTCTTGGATTTGTTTGAGTTAATTTAAACTTTTTGTCTAAGGTGAGGGGGGCATAATAAACTGATTATATAATTGTATCCTGTGATGCACTGGACATTATTTAATCAGATTAATTAATTGCACCCTGTGGTGCTGTGGGTATATTAAACTGATAAATTAATTTTATCCCTTGATACAGCGAGTAAACTGAATAATTAAAATTATGATGAGGCGAAGATATTAACCATACACTGTGGTCCACAGGCATCATTAGATGGAGGTTGATGTGAAGCATGGCTCCGTGAATGGAGCATTTAAAAAAATGCCCTGATGGAACTGTTGGTAAAAGTATCGTTCTCTGTAGTTTCGGTAGTAAGGAATTTTCGTACCATCACAGTTACAGTCTGAAAAATCAAATCAGTGCAAAGTATTTAGCATCAAAGTCTGCTCATGCTAACACACAACCTCACCATGCCCTTGAGATGGAACCACCATGGATGTATCAGGATTCAATAGTTCATGTGAATGAAGATCCTGTACTTGAAAATGGAACATAAAGTGTTAAGTGGAAAAATGAAAAGATATGATGATATTCACAATGTTATTTGAACCTGCAACAAAAGAACCAGGAAATTGTGACAAGAACCACAGATACTGCTGCTGCAGGCACCATGAATGGACATGTATTGTGAAGCCAGGGGGAGTACACCAACAAAGCCTAGGAGGAT